TGGAGCAGATTGCATTTGTTGCCATGACATTTCCCAGCCTGATCCTATTGGTATTAGAATTTTTTTTGGGGGGGGAGGGGGTTAGTTAAAGAAAAAAAAAAAGCTTCAAACGCTACAGGATCAGGCCAAGTAGTCCACCTAGTCTTGTGTCCAGAGTAGCCAACCATATTCTTCCAGGAATCTCCCAAGCAGGCACAAACCCTTCCCATTCCTTGCGCCTCATATACCACCTTTCAACAAGCATGAAGGTAGAAAAAGTCACTGACAGACCCCTCTGCTCCCATGATTTTGTCTAGACTTTTAAAAGCCATCTGCGTCCACAGCCTTCCCGACTGGACAGCTGTGGGTTCTAGGGATGAATTATGTCCTGTGGAAGGAACCCATTTTTCTGCTTCAAATCAGCTGCTTCAATTCTTAGAGGGATCTATGATTTCTATGATGTTGAGAAACTTGTCTCTCCATACCATGCATGATTCTATAAGGTACTACCGTATCCAACCTGAGTCACCTTCTTTCTAAACTGAAAAGCCTCCAAATACTTCCGCTTTCTCCTCTGTTCAGTCTGTTTATACAAGCTGGGCACACTTTCCATCCAACTGGAGATCTCAAGTCAATGGGCAATTAACACAGAGAAATTAAGCAAGGAAACTATCCGTACAAGAAGGCCAGAAAGAATAATTACTCAAATACTAGTACCAGTACATAACACAGCCTTGCAACATTAAACACAATTTAAAAACCACCAAATTGCAGCAGATGGTCATTTCAGTCTTTACCAGATGTCCACTAACTATCTGGTCAGCATTCCCCATCCTGGAATTCTCCAGCTCTGCTGGACTGCAACAACCATCATTCCTAGGCATCACGACATTGGCCATGCTCACTGAGAATCATGGGAGCAGCGGTGCAACACAGCTAGAACCATGGGGAAGACTGCCCTACAAAGTCTGAGATTTCAAACAGTGCCCATATGCTAGTCTTACAGGTTTTCCCATGCAGTGAAAAGAGACCGAACAGGCTCTGCCACACTCCCCCTCCCACCTGCAGAAAAGTCCAAGGACCATTGTAATATTTGTGGAATTTGGGCCCAACCAGAGCTCACCAGGCATAGTTAGGACCCATAACTGAAATCCATAGGATCTCTTCTCTGGTTCTTTCCAATTTTAGTAAAATCATGCTCCGCTGTCTTGCATACTTCTTAACACAGTTAAGAAAGAGATTTGCACAAAAGGGACCAGGGGCTTTCTGGCCTGCATGCAGAATGATCAGAGGAAGCTCTTTCCAGTGTAAAAAACAGGCAAGTTTCCAAATGAATGGCAATGTTCCTTCAGTGGCTGGTTGCATTTCCTCTAAGGCTTTTAGGTTTTGTTTTGATTTTGTTTTAATAGAAATTTAACTATGCACAAGGGGAGATGCTTGGTTGATGATATTCATTTGTGGAAAGCAGAATGCAGGGTTGTGATCCCTCACACCTATTTTATCCCAGGTATCCTTACAGCATCCCTGAAAGGCAGAGAAGTCTTGGTACAGTCATATTAAGGGCAGAGTTCAGCTAACATTTCCTTCGAAGAAAAAACTCCCATATGCCAGAAAATGGAGGAGGACGTGACATGTATTTCCAGCAGAGTCACACATTCCATGCAAATTCAAACTTAAGGAATACTAAACAAGGTGATGTACTGCAAGAGATGAACCTCTCGTGGCCGCAACGGGTATGCAAGGCACATCGCAGGGTGAAGTGATGAGTTTTCATCTGGTGAACAAAAGCGAAGCTTGGTTTAAAAAGAATCCTGAAGATTCGGCAAAGTCTACAACCAGAACTAGTCCTAGCATCATAAACACAGACGGCATATTTGTCACTTTCCATCATTTTTTTAAAAAACCATTTTGCATGGCCAAGAAAATCAGGGCACTGAGGTACTCAGACTAGGGGAGCCGGGAGTGGATGTGTGGAGAACACCTGGCCCCCGAGGTGAGCTTGTTCAGCACCTGGGAGCAAGGTGGCAGCGGTGGTTCTAGACTGCAGCACGAATCCGTACTGCAGCTGCATCACATTAGATAACTCAACACCTCACCTCAGCAAGAGGTATTTCCAAAACAGAAGTCGTCCTGCTGCTCACAGGAACCACAGCAGTCCACCACTGTTGAGTGCCGGAAATGAATCCATCCCCATGCGAAAGAAAATGACCTCCCAGTTAAGACTGAAAAAGTTGGCCTGTGCTGGATCATGCAGTGGAAAAGCCAGTGACTCTCCAACTCACAGGGACACTGCCCAACTAAAACCAGGACACATTTTTTCCTTCTACTAACATCCTCAAAGTACAAAGGCACCATAGAAAACACGAAGCAGCCATTCGTTCTAGGAAGAGCTGGTCTCACAGCACAGCTGGCCTTATGGGCATTTTTTAGCCATCCCGAGCAGCAAAATGATCCTAAAAATGCACAGGCGAAGAAACAAGACAGAGCAACAAAGCAAGAATTCCAAACTGAAAGAGCATTCGACACAGCCACCCAGCTGCTACAAAACTTTGCAGTCTCTTAGTAAACAGAAAGACACCCCTTGTCAATACAAGTTCAATAAAAACATCATGAAGAATCTTAGAGATTTTTGTGCTTGTTTCTTCAGAGAATGTCAAGCTTTATTTGAGAGAACGATTTCAGCCAAAGAAGCATCACTGCGATGCCACAGGAGAGGTAAACAGCCATCCCAGGCATAAACCCCCCTCCATTTAACTAACAAAGATACCTGTCCATATATTGGAAAGGGTACAATTTTGCCACATATGTAAGAGTTTAAAAGAAGGTAAGATCCTATGAATCCTTTTACGCTCCTTTTAAAGTCCATCTCTTCAATTTTTAGATGGTTTCACTTGGCAAAGATCTAAGAAACTTATTCATCATTCTAAAGGGAAAATGGTATTCGCTACAACATTGTAAAATTTGGTAAATTTAATAGCAGTCAGTTTTCATAGCAAAGGCAGGTCTCCATTTTCTTTAAAAAGACACAATTCCATTTCAGCAACTGAAAGCAAAAAAAAGTTTCCCAAACCCGCTGTGCATTCAAGACCCATTGCACATTTTTATTGAGGACAGACAACAGCCCTCTTCCAGAACCCTCTTGTTTTACTTAGAGAGGAAACATGGAGGTGTATGACGGCAGACGTGGGCAGCATTTCAGATAAGTGCTTCCTCGAAGACCAGGATCCCACCCATCTTCTTTCGCCTTTTAAGGCAGAGCCCTATGCGACCCATGGTAGCTACAACATGCTGGGAACTGTAGGACTTTTTTCTCTTTAAACATGCATAGGATGATGCCCTTAGTCCTTTTTCCTTTAATGTGGAAGGAAGGGGGGGGCAGGGTGTTTTTAAAGAAGGGAAGCATATTCTGGGCGCCTGCCAAGGTCAGCAGGAACAAGTTGAAGAGCACTAAGAAAAGGCTCCAAAACACAGGCCTGCTTAAACTAACTTGAATTTGGGAAAGATAGGATTTGGGAGATTAGGATGAACCTGATTTGATTCCCTGTGCTTTATTTCCTAAAATTCCTGGGTATATTTTAATACATCTTACATAAGCTGCCTCAAGCTGGCTAAAAAGAGGCGAGACATGCACCTTTTTAAATAAATAAAATGCAGAACTGTTGCAATGAAAGATTTGAAAGGACTTTTCTATTTATGCTATACTCTGAGAAGGAAGAACTGTATGTAAAACTATCATTTGAAAATTACAAGCTCTCAACTGTGCTTTTGCTGAGAAAATGTTTAAATGTAGGGGATAAACAGCAGAATGCGGCTGTATTAACACTAGGGGCAAGCAGAGGAATAACTCCATCTCTCTCCACCGGTAGTAAAAGCTTTGACCATAGAAACAGAGCGAGTCAGAAGGGGCCTCCCTGGCCATCTAGTCTGACCCCCGGCTACAGCCAACTCCGCTCACAACATGCCCACCATGTGGACGTCCAGCCTGTCCTTGAAGACCCTCACCGATGGGGCCTCAACGACCTCCCGTGGAAGCCCATTCCACACCCTCGGGGTCCTAACTGTCAGGAAGTGCCATCACCAGAGATTTCATGGCCTGTGATATACTCTATAAATATGTAAGAAATATTACAAAATAAACTTATGCTGACTTGCACCAATGAAGAGAATTACCTATATTTCCCCATTGCTAGCTGAAAACTTTGAAGAAAGCATTAGGAAGCAGTATGGCTTATACTGTACTTTGAGTATATACATGCGAAAAGAGCATTATTTTCTCTTTGTGGATTGCACTAAGGCAAGGCCTCCCTCCTTAAACTGCTCCATCCTCTCTCTTGTAACCAATAGAACGAGTGCGGTATAGTGGTTAAGAGCACAGGACTGGGACTCAAGCAAACTGGGTTCTAGGCCCCACTTGGCCATGGAGCCGACTGGGTGACTTTGGGCCACAAACACTCAGTCAAACCTACCTGACAGGTTTGTTCCTGTGAGGATAATACTGAGAGCAGGAAGAGGAGAATTATGTAAGCTGCCTTGACTTTGTAAGAAAAAGCCAGGATTCAAATCTAGTAAACAAACAGTGTGATTTGTGGGGTACACAGGCAGGCAGCAACCAACCCTCCAGATGCTATTGAGTCACAAGCAGCCTCCCCACATTCTCCCTTCTTCATTACTCTCATATCTGATGTTTCTGTTGTAAAGTTGAGCATACAGTTGATGCGTTTTGGGAAGGTGGAAGTACAGCCTTGCTATACAATGGTGAGGTGCACCGCTACACAGCTGAACTCACCACCCTTCATCAATTACCGCCACAATTAATGCTTCCTCGTTTTAAGAGGATAAGAATAGGGCTGCAGAATTGTGTGGCAAGGGGCACTCCCCCAGCCCCCCAAGAGTTCCCCGGTATCCGACACACGCCAGCTCCGTTTTAGGGCGCAGGGGCGGTGGGGTGGGGTGGGGTCCACGCGCAGCCCCTCCCCCATACTCCCCTCCCCTCCCTCCGGGCTCCGCCCCCCCGTACTCACACCTCAAGGATGCGGTCCCCTTTGCGCACCCCGGCGCGCTCGGCCGCCCCCCCGCCCAGGACGGCGCTGACGTGCTGCAGCGGCGCGTAGAGCTCCCCGTTGATGCTGCGCAGCTGCCCGCCCTCGCTCACTTGACCGCGCACGTTGAACCCGTAGCCGGACTCCGACTTGACGATGCGCACCACGCGAGGCCCCGACGGCGGCGGCGAGGCGGCGGCGGCGGTGGCGGGAGCGGAAAGGGGTGCCGAGGTCGGGAACGACGAGCCGGAGCCGGAGCCGCCTCCGCCGCCGGAGCTGCCGCCCCTCAGCGGGCCCGGCAGCACGGAGCGCGGAAGCCCCTCGCTCGCCTCGTCCGCCATCTTGGCGCGAGCCAGGCGCCGCCGCGGCTCTTTTCCCCTCACGCTCCCTGCGCGAGCGCTTGTCACGCGACCGGCCACGCCCCCTCTCGTCCCCTCTGCCTGGGCCACACCGGCTTCCGTAGAAGCCGCCGCACGGACGCAGACACGACCGCGCGTAACTGTTCCCCTTGCCGCCCGAAGGGGCTATGGGAAGTGTAGTCCGCGAAAGAAGTTCGGCGAGGCGGAGAGCAGCGTGCTTCTGGGCGCATGCGCACGCAGATAGCGCTCGAACGGCTTGCTTCTCTTCGCCTCTAGGCGCTTGCGTGGGAGAAGCGATGCGCACGCGGGCGCAGGTAGGCGGTGCTTCGTGTGGCCGGTGGGGTTTCTCACACTAGCCTACCTCGCAGGGTCGTTGAGAGGATGAGAGAGAGAGAGCTGGGTAGACCTCCCTTCTGGGGGGCTCCTTGGGGCCAGAACATGGCACATTAAATCAAACAGTTTATTTTTGACGTTTAAGTTTATATGAAGGGTTTTTGAAATTGTCAATAGTTATTTAAAACTCACCGTTTTAAATGTATATATATAAACAAGTTTTAAAATGTTAAGTCCCTGAAAAGAAAAACTCAAGATGCATAGTTGGACTATAGCACTTTTATTAAAACCAAACAGAATCTCACAAAAATTCACAAGCTTTTCACTTCTCCAGAATTCCACACCAGGCCGGGTGATGCAAAAAATCAGGAGACGGGGGAAAGAACACAAACATCCAGAATTTGCTTTTAACCCTGGCAACTTTTTGCTGCGGCTGTTCCCACCAACACCGAGCCCAATCTGTTTTTCCTCCTAGCATCTTGCCCAAGAGATCTGCACATACAACCTGTGGCTGAGATAGCCTGCTAATGAAGGTGGTGGGCAACTCTCAACACCCTCCAGGCGTTGTTGGCCTACAATTCCCATCAGCTCTCCCATGTGTTGTCAGTGGTGAAGGATCATGGGAACTGTGGCCCTTTAGATTTCATTTGTTTTGTTGCTATGCTGCTGAATAGCCAAAGCAATCAGGGCAGTTTGCAGCAGTTCATAAAAGCAAGATCATAACTTGACAGTGTAAGTGCTAGTTATATACATTGACAAAAAAGAACAACTCAACAGCTAAACCCATTTTTTGAGATAAACCTGTTAGAAAAGCTGACACTGGTGTAGCATTTTGGACTACAAGTTGTCCGTTCCTAAGTTAAGCATCTTCTGCATTCAGTGGCGGTTACTTCCAAGCATGTCTGCATAGGATTCCAACTAGAACTCACAATAGATTACATGATATTTTATCATATGCTGTTTTAGTGCTTCGGGTATTGCATGGTAGGCAGGAATCGACACCACTTCAACCTCAGGTGGATTTACTCACAAAGAAGCCACACGAAGTTTAGCAGAGCTCATGCCCCAGCTCAGGATCAGAACGCAAAACAGTGCACTCTTCCGTCCGCTTCCATTCCCAAGGGAATGCAGCCACGGATAAATATGTAAACGGTGGCCTTGTGCATTTCCAGGGAATTCCTCGCCTCCCCGTTTGCTCCAGATACATGAGGCAGCCTCCTTAACACAGGCTTGTCCTCCTCCTCCCCGAAGAGAGATCCTACTCCAGAAGGCATCACAGCTGTCAGTGGCACGCAAAGAGTGGAGCGGCTTGCTTGTCAACACACATGGGCTAATGTGAAGCCGTTCAGCCAATGTTTGCAAATGTTCGCAGCTGTGAGAGCTGCTCATCATCAGATCCGTCAGAAACCTTTTGACCAAGTAAAAATGCAGCCCTGCTTAACTGGGTGACAGATTCTTTTTTTTTTTTTTTTTTAATCATGTTTAATGATTTTCCAATAAAAGATTAAACAAATGCACATGCAAGAGGAGTCCCCGTGTGGTTCGAGGCAGCCCATCTTCTCAATGGCCAAAGGGAAGCTGGGGCAGCTGCATCTGAGATTCCAAAAGTGCTTCTGATCAGAGCAAGTCCCTTTACACAGAAGCAGGCAAGCCCCACTGCAGTCAAGAGGACTCACACCCAAGCAAGCATGTGCAGGGATACGGCAGCCGCGCACCCGCAAATATCACGGTCTACGATGCCACACAGCCAGCCAACAGAGCGGTGGGAACTACAGACTCAACACTATAAGGCCCCGGCTTCAGTAAGGCTAAGATGCAGCCTGAATCCACACACCTAAAACCAACCAAACGTCCTTCTAGCGTGGCAAGACGACACACAGATTTGAAGCAAGGTCTCCCAAACCAGTCTGCATCAGGCTTTTGCTACCAGGAAAATGTAGGTGGCCCTGCTCTGCTCTCATGCGTGTCGGCACGTTTATTCTTTTCCATTTGCCCAGTTGAAATGCTGCTGCTGAGATGACTCCCCAACCCCATTTATCCTGGGGGTAAGAAACAGGTGAACATATTAATTTTGCCGACACATTAGTTCACCTGCACCTGAACTGGAAACATCTCTCTCGTGGAGAGACTTGAGGTGTACATGCCAAAGTGAAGTTAAGCTGGAAGGGAAGATCCTGGAGAGGACCGAAAGCAACACCCCGACACAGCAGGCCGGGCAAGACTGGATGGATCTTTGCTCTTCAACAGCACACTTGTTATGTCCTTGGAATCACGCCTGGCCAATTTCTGGGAGGCCACCCTGTGGAGCAACCGCGGGTGAGAAACCAAAGCCGGTGGATTTCCGTCAGACCCAGCCGAAAGCGCTGCTAAACAGCCTCCAAGGCAGGTTTGCTTATCCAGGATACCCTGACAGATGAAGCAGCCGCCCGTGCAGAGTGAAGAGTACAAGTAAATAAAGGAAGCTGCAGGACTGCATTTGCAGGAGCCGAGCAGGGCGATCAAGGACTGGACGTTTTGGCTGGAGGAGACTCCCTTCCCGGGGGGCACTGTAAGCTGGAGAGGACTCGGCGGCATTTAAACAACAAATGTGAAGATGCTGGGTTTTAAAAAAGGAGCACACAAGACTCAAGCCCTCTTCTAGTAGAAATGAAGCCCTTTCAAAACACAATTCAGCATCTATCGCACATGCATGTACGCACACACTGCTAAATGACCATATATGCACCAAGCGCCTACATTCCTGGATAGTGTGATGTGACCAGAGCAAAAGAAACACTTGTTTTGATGAGAGGAAATATTTTTCCAGCTGGGCAAGAGATGGGACAGGAAAGGCAGGGGCCTTCCCCTCTTTTCTCAAACCTTCTGGGCCTTTAAGCTGGTACTGGTGGTCAACAATCTTAAGGGTTCTTGGAGTTCGGGCTGTGTACACACCGCCATGAAAATGGGGAGGGGGAGGACAGGAATGCCAGCACTGTACACAGCAAGTAGACACATATTTGGGGAGGGGGTGGATTTAAAAGGCACTCCTTCCAAAGTAACCAGCCACATCGAACTCATAGATATGAAGAGCGAGCGTCGTCCTTCCAGCCTTCTGCAGAAGGAAAGCGTCGCTGTCCGTACTTCCCAGGAAGGTCCAGGAAGAATTCCACCTCTTCCAGGTCTGAGCAAGCCCCGCGGCTGGCGCTGCTCCAGCGGCTGGCATGCACGGTGGGGAACGGATGCCTCGGGGGGGCGAGGAGATAGAAGAGCAGCAGAGCTAGGTGGCCGGCTGCAGCCTACAATCCAGCGAGTTCGTGGCAGGGTCCTCCTGGGGGTGGGACCAGGGAAGAGGCCACGTCCCGGTTCATGTCTCCACTACTCTGATCAGAGGCCAAGGTTTGGGGCCCGGAGACTTGGTAAGCCTTTTGCTAGAGGAGAGAGAGGTATTTTAGTAGCAGCAGGAACAGTAAGAACAGTTTATTCATCCCGCAGGCAGAAAGAGGTTCGGCACCGGCCCAGCACAGGCTGGCCTGCAGGTGAACAGCGCTTGTTTCTCGTGGCACGCGCTGGCCCAATTCTCACCTTGAGTGTCTCTTCCCCCAGGACACAGACAGGTAAAGAGGGTGGCTACGGGGGGAAGGGCCTTCTCCCATCTGTGGAATCAGCTCCCCAGGGAAATACACCTGGCACCAATGTCATCTATGTTTTGGTGCCAGGTTAAAACCTTCTTGTTTTCCCACCATTTAAATTGTGGTTTTCCTGGCTTTTGAACTGTTTGGTACAGGTGGGATGGTTATTTATTTATTAAAACATGTTTATGCCGCCCCATTCGCCGAAGCCTCGGGGCGGCTTACGACAATAAAAGTAATTATAATATAAATTACAAAAAATATAAACATTAAAAATCCAAAAAATACAATATAAAATAAGCCACCCTGGCCAGATAAGATCAAATAATACTAACAGTTAAAATGCCGCTTAAATAAAAAGGTCTTCGCCTGGCGCCGAAAAGCAAATAACGACGGCGCCAGGCGGACCTCTCTGGTTATGATTTTATTATGCATTGTTTTGTTATTGTTTTAGCTCAGCCTGTCAAATTTTATTGTTATGTGGTTGTTCTATAAGCAAGCCTGTTTTACATTTGTTTTTGTATTGATTGTTATTTGACATTGTCAAGTATGTTCCGTACACCATTCTGAGAGCTTGTTTAATCCAACAGGCATAAAAATCCCTTAAATAAATTAACGTTGTTGGCCCACAATGGCCATTAAGCCCTTGGCGTTGGCCATGCTGACTTGGGGTACGTTGCAGCACAAAAGGAAGGATTATAGGGTGACAGTTTCCACATGCGGGGTGCCCCCCGCCCCATTTTTCCAGCTGCTCACCTGCTTACATACTCTGATTTGGAGCGAGGTCTGGTGCTGCAGGCCCCGGGATTGGTCTGCTTTTCGATAAGGTGCTCGATGCGATCATGCATTTCCAGGTTCTTTTATCAAGAGAGAGAGAGAGAGGATATTTAGAGGAAAAGGGGACACGCTAAGACAGAAACCGGAGGGAAGTCAGGCATGGAAAGCAGGTGTTAAGCCCAGTGTCGGAGCAAATCATTAGAGGCCATGGAAACCACCAGTCTGGGGAAGAACGGCAGCTGGATCAGTTGGGAATCATTCAGGGGGTTGGCGATCGCTAACGGGCTGTGGCTTGATTGCATTGCTTAACAACAGAACAGACAGGGCTGCTCTTATCTCTTTGGATGTGGAAGAGGCCTTTGCCAAAATGAGCTGGAAATTTTGGCCACACGGAGAAACGTTGGTTTTCTTCCAACCTTTCAGCAACAGGTTGAAATCTTATATTAAACTCTAACAGCCAGGGGGTTTTGTCCTGATAGAGGTACCAGACGGGATTGTCCTCTCCCCGCACTGATACCTGAAAAAGGACTCCCAGGTGTGCTATTCACAGACTGGAGCACAATGCTTCAGAATATAAACTTTTTTATGCTAATGATTGTCTGTTTATTTTGGAACTCCAGTCATCGGTTTCAGTTTTGATGCAATTAGTTCTGGATATTTATCTCTCTACTTCTATTAGCTAGTCAAAGTCAGAACTCTTGTTGAGAGCAATCTGTAGGGTCTGTTCTTTGCAAACTAAGTAGCAATTTCGACATTCTGCCAAGTTTATTACTAATTCAGGAATACTTGTCCTTAGGGATATAACAAATAATTAAGTTAAACTCGAGTAAGTTGCTTAATGAGCTCTCCTGGGACACTGATAAACGGGCATCCTTAAAGCTAAATCCATGGGGTTACGCTCAAAATGAAAGTAATATCTCAAATTGTTAACATTTTATTTGGTACTTCTTTATACCTGGCAATCATTTTTCAAAGCGTAACGGCTTATTCCTCACGTTTTTATGAAACTCCACTCTGCTTATGTATTTAGGGTTATGCAAAAAAACTAATATTTTATTTTACTTTTTATTGTATGTAGGGCTTTGTTCTCTAACGTACAACAAGAAACAGCCAAAAGCTGCAGCCTGCACACATTTGTATTGAGTGATCTTTGTTTGTGTGATTCCCTCCTTCCTTGTGTTTGTAATTATGGGCAGGCCGAGTGGGGGGCAGCTCAGCTGTGGGGCACGGAAGCCAGTGGCGAGGAAGGGCAGACAGCACGGCTGCCTGGAGCCCCCCTGCTGCCAGCCCCCAGGAGCCCTCCCGTGTACCAGCACTGGGGAACAAATGGGGCAGCAGCCGTGGTCCGGGGTGACCTGGTTAACATGAACCTGCACCATTTCAAGCGTTTGTTTATTTAAGGTTTCTGCATGCCGTCCCCTTGCTATATAGCCTCGGGGCTGCACACACAAATCAATAAATATAATACAAATGCAATTAAAATACAATTAAAACCCGGAAACACCCCGGCTGCACAATTAAAACCTAAAAATATTAAACATTAGTAAAATATTGTTTGAATAAAAGGTCTTAAAAATAAAAGCGTTTGCTGCAGTTCTTCCTTTTCCTTCCTCCCTTTTTCCTCTCGTTGCTTCTTTTCCTGTCCTCTCCCCTCCCCTCCCTCCTTCCATCCGTCCTTCCTCTCTGCCTTAGTAAACCATCCCCAAGAAAATAATTCACAGCCACGTGATGCAGCAACAGCCTGGATAGGGAAACGGGCCACGTTCTGGAGGTCCCAGCAGCTACGAGCTACTAGGCAGTTCAGTATAAAAGCTGCAGAGGATGCGAATGCGACTCCGCCAAAGGAACAAGCTACCAGGCTCTTCCCCGGCTCTGAGCAGCAGCCCCCCGAGTTCCAGACCACCCGCTAGGCTCTTTGCGGGGGGGACCCCTTCCCCACTCACCTCAGCCTCCAGGTACATCACTCGCTCTTTGAGTTCCTGAATCAACGCATCTTTGGACTGAATCACAGTTTTGGAATTCTGAAGCTGTGGAGAACAAGCACAGCTGTCAGAGCGCTGCTCCAGATGGGAAAACTGGGCGCATCCCAGGAGCAGCCAGGTGTGCATGAAGCATAGCCAGGAAGCGCCTCGAGGCTCCTCCGCAAGGGGGTGATCCTGTGCATGCTGGCGCTGGCAGGGCCTTTCGCCGGCTAGACATGCTTGTGCCCGATTCAAGCCGAATTCACGGCCATTTCCTGACCGGAGGGCTAGAGAACACCCTCCGAGAGGGCAATTCCAAGGATTCCTGGCAGGAAGCCACGTTTGGTGGCCTGCAATGGCCCACAGGAGAGCTATTTCGGGTGGGAGCACCCAGCTTCCCAGACACTCTCCAGTCCAGGCACCGAGATGGGCCAAGGCACCAGCCTTGCTCGCTTCTAGAATATGGTGTCAGACCCGTCATGATACCTGAAGGAGACCTGGCTGTTCAGAGGCTGCCTCTTCAAAGCATCCACTGCTGGCTAAGGCACCCAGCTTTGTCCCCATTTTTGCATGGCAAGTTTCATCTTTGCCTCTTTTATCGTTTGGCAGCTTGAACGCCGTTTCCCAGTGCGGGGACAGCAAAAAACCCGTCGCTCTGCGCTGTTGTTTTCAACCCAAGAATCTTGCATGGGAGTCGGGTGAAGACGGAAGGGTAAATTTGTTCTGGCTTGCGCTGGCGGGTGTGGATTTGGCCAGGCCGCACCGAAGCACGAGCTGAAGGCATTTCTCTCCCGGCCACCCTCCTCCACACCACCCTGACCTGTTCGATCATCTGCCGGACTTTGCGCTGCTGGCTCTTCAGCATGTCATCGAGGTGGTGGATCTTCTCCCGCAGGGTGGCAACTTCCTTCTCCAGCTTGGCTGACCTGAACGAGGACGAAAAGCTGCAGCTCTGCGACTGGTTTTTAGGCAATGTTTTTCTCCTTTTTCGGCAGCCAGCATGTCCTCTCAGGAACCTCCCCCATCCCACCGCCCTCCAAACATGCCCCAGCCCGCGTGAGATGCAGTACATGCATTGGGTTTGCATGAGTTATCTTATAAATCAGAAAGTCTGTTCTCCCCACCTCCAAGCTGCTATTCCACAAATGTATATCCCACCTTTTCTCTTGAGAACCAAAGATGGCTTCCGTGGTCCAATGTTACAGGGTTGCTGTTTTATTATTTATTTCTTTAAAGTTTTTGTATGCCGTCCCCTTGCTATATCATACAAATACAGTTAAAAACCCGGAAGCACCCTGGCTGCACAATTAAAACCTATAAATATTAGACATTGTTAAAATATTGTTTGAAGGAAAAGGTCTTAGCCTGGCGCCGAAAAACAAATGATGACAGCGCCAGGCAGACCTCTCCGGGGAGCGCATTCCACAGGTGGGGCGCCACCGCAGAGAAAGCCCTCCTCCGGGTACTTTGCTTCCTGATGTCTCTCATGGAGGGTTCCTGGAGGAGGGCCTCTGCTGCCGATCTCAAGGGGCGGGAGGGCAAATACGGCCGCAGGCGTTCCTTCAGGTATCCGGGTCCCAAGCCGTTAAGGGCTTTATAAGTGATTACCAACACCTTGAATTGAGCCCGGACTTCGATGGGGAGCTGGTGAAGCTGGTAGAGGACTGGGGTTAAGTGAGAGTAACGCCCAGTCCCCGTCAGCAACCTGGCTGCTCTGTTTTGCACCATCTGAAGTATCCGGACTGTCTTCAAGGGCAGCCCCACGTAGAGCGCGTTACAGAAATCCAACCGGGAAGTAACCAATGCATGTGTCACTGTCGCTAGGCAATCGTCCTCCAGGTAGGGACGCAGCTGATGGATTAGCCGCAGCTGATGGAAAGCGCTCCTCGCCACCGCCGACACTTGAGCTTCCAAAGTCAGCTCCGGGTCAAGGAGCACTCCCAAGCTGCGGGCCCTATCCTTTAGAGGGAGTGCAACCCCATTCAGGGCAAGGTCCAAGTCACCTACCCAGGAGTTCGAACCACCCACCAGCAGGACCTCCGTCTTGTCTGGACTGAGCATCAGTTTATTGTTTTGGGAATATGATGCACAGTGGGAGACTCCGTAAGTCCTTTGGACTTTTCACCAGAGACAAAAAGGGATAGAAATTATAATATTCGGGGTGGTGCTGCAGCTGGACGCGGAGGTGATTTCCTGACGTGCATGTTAAGCTGCACGCAGGCATCATCCAAATGCCCTTAATTTGGCCAGCAGCACTAATTGGAGCAAAATGAAACCCAACCGGTCCACTCACAAGCTGGCGAAGGAGAGCGCCGAGAAGCTGCCAGGATTGCTGGTGGCTTCCGAGGGGGCAGCGCCGCCCCATCAGTCCCTCCCGCGTCCCCATCCATGCCGATCCCCGCCCTCCTCATCCGCATCCCCGCCACCCTCCTAATACTGGAACCCAGCAGGGTCAACCGCATGTGGCATCTCGCATACAGCAGCCGGGGCAGATCAGAGGAAGGCTCTCCTTCACCGAGCGGAGAATTAGATGAAACAGAGAAACAGGGCGAGTCGGAAGGGGCCTCCCGGGCCATCTAGTCTGGCCCCCGGCTCTGCTCACAACATGCCTACCATGTGCACGTCCAGCCTGTCCCTGAACACCCTCACCAAACTTCCAGAAGAGGTCGCAATGGCCACCAAATGGGATGGCTTTAAAAGGCAACGGGACAAAGCCATGGAGGATAAAGCTGCTAGTCCTGATGGTTACGTGCTGCCTCCAGTGTCAGAGGAAATGGGCCGATATGCCCCAGATGCTGGGCAACATGACTGGAAGGGTGATGCTGGACTCAGGTCCAAGCTGGGATGCTGAGTTGGCCACTGTGGAACAGGAGGGTGGGCTAGAAAGGTCTGTCGTCACAGCTCTATTTCTGTCCCACCGCCCTCCAAACATGGAGTCGCACCCACTCTTGTCGCCTCGGCAATCAACATCTCTCGTGCCGAACTCCTCACCTTTCCTGCTCGGCCAGTTTGTCCCTGTTCAGGCTCCGCAGCTGCTCAAGCTCGGACTCGCCATCCTCCATCTTCTGCAACAGAGCCTGGTGCTCCTGGACAGAGAGAAGGAGGGCGACAGGTGAGCTGGGACCCTGTTGCTCGCTGCTCTCTTGCTCGCAGGACAGACAGTTCCCCGACAGGAGAGCAGAGGCTGCCTTCTGGAATGCAGGGCAGCAGAGAAAACCAGAAAGACGTGGGGAAGAGCAGAACCACCAACAGCCGAGGGAGGTGGAACAGAAGCGCTACTGGCATTCCCAGCATGCTCTGGAGGCCGGGGCGGCAGCAGCCATGGAAGTGGCAGTACCTTCTCCATCCCTGTGAGGAGCCTCTGCAGTTCTTCCAGCTTCAGGTCCTTTTCTTCCAGGTCCTGTTCCGCTTTCTGGAGGGCCACGCCAGACTGTTCCGCTTCCCTCCGGTAATGGGAAATGGACGTCTGTCACAGAAGAGAAAAAGCTGGGGTGAGGGATTTACTCCCACACGCAGAAAAGACTCTTCGGAGGAAGTACGGAGGGTGTCTAGCCGGAGGAGAGCCTTCTCCGCAGTGGCACCTGGACTACGGAATGCGTTCCCCAGAGAGGTCCGCCTGGCGCCGACGTCGCACTCCTTCCGTTATACTCCTTTCTATTTAACCATCATTTTAATAATCAAGGGTTTTAGGTGTTTTAATTTTTTCCCTTCCCCACAGTCACATTTTCTAGTCTTTTCCTCCCTTCTCTTTTCTCTTAGTTTATGATGTGCTGTTTTATATTGTTTTAATAGTTGTGGTTTTATTATTGTATTATTGCAGTTTTACATGGTGTAAGCTGTCCTGAGTGCTTGTTGGACGGGATATAAATGTTGGTAATAAAGAAATAAAAACCTGCAGCGTGAAGCCCTCGAGAGGGATGAGTCCGCACCCCCCTCAAACAGCCACCTGTCCTCACAGCACAATGTCCTGCTGCGTCCACTCTACCATACAGCCCAATGACCACCACAGGCCTCGTCAAGAAAAGCCGGGCAGTCGAGTCCCAGAGCAACACAAGACATGACGGGAATGGCTGTCCTGGGAGGCGGCACAGGCCGTCTCTCCCTGCACGTGGGGCCGAAAAAGCTTCCATGCCCCCGGGGGAGGCGCGGCTATGGGGAACCCACATTCAGATGCCCAGTGGGAAGCCTCTGAATCAAGTCCGCCCCCAGTCTCTGGCTGGGGTGTTCATGGTTCGGCTTCTCGCGCTCCGAAGGAAAGACTGGGAATACATCTGGCACCATTCCAGCAAGCATAGGCCCCGCAAGTGACAATGCCCACGGCGGAGCATCGGGGAGGCGATTTCCTGTGTAAAGGGCTCTCTGGAAGTTGTTTCGGCAGCTCTGGAGATCGGTGCCTGCCAGAGTTCCTGTCCACATTTGGCATCCTCAAGGGTGTTTTAATCTACTGCCCCCTTTCCTCCGGGAATTTAACCCCCAAAGAGCTCTCTGCCAGTCAGCTCATTGGGGCTGATCAAGTCATGGCCCATAAAACCCAGCAATAAACTCTGGACGGGGAAAGCGCAACAGCAGGCACTGACCTCGTAAGCGGCTCTGTCTGACTGATGCCGCTTCTCCGCTTCCTGAAGTTTGGAGAAGAGCCTCTTGGCCGTTTCGCGCATGATGGAGATGTCTTTCCCGGGGCAGTCAAGATCCTCCTGGGGGGGAAGATTGTATCGGTCAACGGCACGGCACAAACCAGTGTTTACTGCTGCTACACCCCAAAGCGAGCAGACCAAGAACGTAAAGCTGCAGCATCGTATTTGACTTCCATAAGCCCTTTGCTGCCAGCGTGCAGAAAGAGGTCCTCGGAGAGAAGGGGGCATCCGATTGATGAAAGCAGCTGGTGGCCCCTCTCCTTCCAAACTGGAAGGCTTGTCAGGGCTTTCCTCAAAGCCTGGCCCTGCCCATCAAAACAGCATTTGGCCTTTCCTCCAAAGAGCTCAGAGCAGAATAAGAGGTCCGGTCCTCTCCTCTCCTCTCCAACACTTTAACTTCAGAACACCCCTGCAGAGTGGGCTAGGCTGAAAAAAACCGCCACCTCACGGTCACAGGCACCTCCAGCATGTCAGATTGCACTGCCAGGATTCCCATGTCTGCTTCCATTCACGCACCCGCAAGTTGGCACAAGAGGAAGAGCTCGGCTGGCCAGCCCAGGCCTGGGAAGCCCTTTTGCCCCCAGCATTGAGCTGCTCCCCCCCACAAGGTTACCGTCCCTCCCAGAGCCCAGAATTCCGGGACAAACCTCGCTTGTGGACAAGCTGCGATACGTGAAAGTTCTGTGAGGCTGGATCCCATTCGTTTTCTCCAGCTTAACCTGCAGTTAAAAGACAACCAAAAAATAAAACCAGGAGCTCATCGGAACGGGACTGACACAGGAATTTTCTTCTGACAATTTCGGCTTGATGCCTTTCTGGACCATCCAATGGTCAGGTGGTTTGCAAGAGACACACGCACAGAGGAGTTCCTTACGACGTCTTCCCAGCGAACAAAGTCATCAGGGACTGAAATGTGGCTGTTCTTCAGGATCACTGTGACTCAGGGAGCCACAGAGGCAAAAGATGGTCTCAGCAAGGCGGAGGCGCTTTCCAGCCAGCTCCAAATGCAAGGAGCTGCGCCCTGTGAGGAGGTTTTCATTTTCTGCCCTGGTTTATGGCCTGCCTTAAGGAATTTTGCACCAAGAAAAATTTATTTGGGAGCAAGGACTAAAATGCAGAGAAGCAACTGCTTTCTACTATGTTGACAGGGAGGCAAAAGGTAAACCTCCCCTTCCAATCTAAATTTCAGTTGAAAAGTATGCAGAATGCTTTTTCAGCTACACAAAGCTCGACAGGGGTACACAAAGTTGTGTGCTGGCACAAAACATGGTCCTGGGCAGAATTTCACATTTCAGTGCCCCGGCCAGAATCTGTCTCCGCCCGGTCATGGGTCCCACCAGCTTTTGGGTCAATTTCTATACGACTCTGGTGTGCCCGCAACTGGAGTATTGTGCTCAGGTTTGGGCCCCTCGTTACAGGAAGGATATAGCCAGGTTGGAGTCAGTGCAGCGCAGGGCCACAAGGTTGGTGGCCGGTTTGCAGGGGATGCTGCATGAGGCGAGACTGAGGGAACTGGGCCTCTTCAGCCTGGAGAAGAGGAGACTCAGGGGGGATCTGTTGGTGACATACAGGTATGCAAGGGGGTGTCACACGGAGGTGGGTAGAAACCTGTTCTCCCCCGCACAGGAAGGCAGGACGCGTCCCAATGGAGCAAAGCTCAGGGAGCCAAGGTTCAGTTTGGATGGCAGGAAGCACTTCCTGACAGTTAGGACCCCAGGGTGTGGAATGGGCTTCCACGGGAGGTGGCTGAGGCCCCATCGGTGCGGGTGTTCAAGGATAGGCTGGAAATGCATGTGGTGGGCATGTCGTGAGCGGAGCCGGCTGGAGCTGGGGGTCAGACTAGATGGCCCAGGAGGCCCCTTCTGACTCGCTATGTTTCTATGTTTCTCCCCCCAACAGCTGGCCAATCTGTATAATCCCCCACAAGCTGCAAATTACCTCTTGTAGATGACAGTTGTCATTTTTCTGTTGGTGGAAGCTCTTTCCATGCTTGGCCCTGTCTTCAGCCCGGGCTCTGAGGTACACCTGAGTCACAGGGGAGAAACCACAACGCCCACATCTAAGTGAACCGAACCCAAAGCGAGACAGGACAGGCACTAAGCCCTGGGAAGCCTTACAGAGCAAGGCATTACCAAATATTGCAGAGGGATTGACACTAACCCACAGCAAGCTCCAACAGTTCTGTGCGCAAGATAAAATGTGCCGCCTGGCAACCAGAATGGCACCCAATTATGCCTTAATATATTCATGCTCAAGTCCCATGTTTTCCCTTGCAGTATCTTCTCTGCAATCTCCTACTCCAAATTTTGTTACTCATCTGCTGGTGGCTAGCTTCATAGCAGTTCATTGCTGCAAAATTTAGGAAAATGCCGCCAAATATATTTTACATAAATAGAACTTGGGACAGTTTGTAGATAAAGCAGTGATGTGCCCAAATGATACTGTTCGTTCTACTGTGGCTGTTTTTTAACTTAAGGAGTGCTGTTCTGATTTTCTTGGCATGTATCTTTGGGATGGAGACACTGAAAGGGCTTCTAAATTTTAAAATTAAGTACATTTGCCTTTTGCGCCTGCAACTGACCAAGCTTAGAACGCACGCAGAGAGCATACCAGGAACAGACAACTGGAAATGCAGACTTTAAAAAAAATTCCAACCACTGCAACTTGTAAAGCTGGCGTGGAAAGCTTCCTTTCAGCTTGTAGCAAGGAGCCCCGTCTCCCCAAAACTCTGCTGAAACCTATACGGAGACGGCCAGTCCTTGAGCATTTCCCTGCATTTCGGCAACTGGCGCCCTTTGGAAATACAGTACGCTCAACTGTGGCCTCCAGTACCGAGCGCCATCCCTCCCTCACTCTGAACTGCCCTAAGCCAGTTCCCTCCCCAGCAGGGCCATGACCGCCAGGTCCCTGCCCTCGAAGCTGAAGGATGGCAAGAGGGAGCGCAGGGCCGCTCCACCAGCGACACGGAGAAGCCTCCCCCATGAAGGTTCCTGCTACCACCAGCAGGCTGTACAGCAGGAAGTGAGGTGGGAAGCAAAGCTGAATGCCTGCCTGCTTTTTTCCTCTTCCCTCCCCACCCGGCTTTCTTTTTATATCACCCCTTTCTACATTGTACATCTGCGGGCAGGGGCCATCTTGTTTGATTGGATTGCCAGCCACTCCACAAGACTTCTGGCCTGAGGAGATGCAGAGAGATGCAAATAAATAAGCCGCTACCACAAAGATGGGGCCCACTGAGGCACCCATGAGCATCACTGAAGCTTATGGGGTGCAACGTACAGCAGGCCCTCTGCGCAGCGCCCCAAAAGCAACAGCTGGCCCGTCACGACTGACCCTCTCAGACAGACATCAGGAGGTGCCTCGGAGCACGGCAGACCACGGAGTCCGTGGAGCGGTTTGGGGGTGCCCAGTTCAGGGTCCCCGGCAGGGCAGGGCCTCTCTCAGCCCCTCCTGGAAACGGCAAGCCCGGGAATGTGCGCGTGCGCAGAGGCCGTCCGCCTGCCGTGCTGTGGCCGCGCCAAGGCCCGGTGGCACGGCAACCCGCAGCTCACCTTGATGATCTCCTCATCGCCGTCTTTGGACTTGATGCACTCCGACGTCAGCGCGTGGCTGCTGGTGGGCTGGTTGGCCACCATCGCGAAGGCCCTTCCCACCGGCTGCAGGAAAGAGGACAAGGCCCTCAGTACCCGGTGAAGGCGAGGCCACCCGTCTCCACCGCCGAGTCCCATCAGCTGAGCCGAGGGGCAGGGATGCTGGGAGGTGCTTGGAGAAACCCCGACTGGGGAAGCCCATGCCAACAAGCTTTTCGGGTGGGCACACAATATTCTCCCTGCCTCCCCTGGGACGATCGCCCGGCACGGTCTCTATTACAGTTTCAGTGCCAGGCAAAAATGTTTCTTTTAAATATACATTTTTAGTCATCCGGCCTGTCCTCCCCTGTGCTGCTGCTTTGTTTGGTTGTTATTGTTCGGTTTTATATTTTGATAATGAAGTTTTACTTTTATTTCATATGTGTTTTTATCTTTATATACGTATTCGATGGGATTTTATCGTTATTGTAGTCACCTTGAGACTAGGGCAGTAGGCTGCATATAAATAAATGTATAAAAGTATGTATAAATAAACTGTAGGAATTGCGACAACGCCCCTCTCCCCACCCATCATGGAGGCAGGAGTTCAGAGACAGGAGAAACAGGCGAGCGATACAGTACGGCCGACCTCCGTAAATGGATCCTCTTCGCACTGCAATTTTAGCAAGTGGGGAAAGAGAGAACTCGGCCTGCCTGCTTTTTAATTGCTTTCATTTAGCCAAAGCTCTCTTTTTTTATTTACCTTCTGCTTCACTGGATCGCGCCTGGCCCCAGGAAGGTCATTCTGTAGGGTTAATCTTAGTATTTTCACACTGTCCTAGAGATATAGGGGTTAGCAATGAGGTTGGGGGGGAGAGAATGAGAGAGAGACACACACAAGGGTTAATCGCTCGCTTCGCGCTACAACATTTATGCTACAACAACACGGCTGGCACAGAAGCAAACTGGGCAGGTCTCTGCCCCAAAAAGCATACACTACAGATTCCAACAGGTGCGTGCAGAGGGGGACACACAGAGGTAGCCGAGGAAAACGCAGGGCAGAGCAGCGATTAATGGGCACCTGCACAGCGGCGAATCTCTGATGAGGGATGGGGCTCGGAGGAATCGTGAGAGACGTACATCATGCAGCGAGATTTGTTGCAACCCCTCAAGAGGTTCCCTCCATGGGTGCGAAGGTTCTTTTTATTTATTAAATTTTTATCCTGCCCTAGCAGCCGTAAAGGTGAGCCAACGCTTGCTTTATTCCGGTTTCTTTACACTCTGCCTCTGTCAAAATTGTGGCCAACAATAATAAAACCGTGATTCAAGCATAAGATGAATTAAACTATAACACAGAAACAAACACACAAAAACCAGAAAACATGCAAACAAAGGGAAGCAAACTGTATCCAACCTAAGACAACCCTGCTCAGCAGCGGACCAGGTGACATGCCAAAGACTTGCCTGAATAAATATGTCTTTGCCTGCGCTTCGCAGCCACCAACTACCCCTCCAGGTGGACTGGCTGGAAAGAAACAGTTTGCAGTTGGGAAATGGCCAGCAAAGCAGACGCAATCCAGGTGCGCTGAGGCAGCCTCCAAGGACACGGGCTTTGCTTCTGGAGGAACGGACACTGCAGGAAAGGCCCAAGCCCAGCGCTGCGGCTCGATGCCTCGCCCACAGGTGACTCCTTACCTCTCCGGCATCCTCTCCTCCTCACGAGGAAACCACCCAGCACAACAACCGGGCCGGAAAGGTGCCTACGGTGCCGGGCAGCACAGCCACAAAACCTGGAGTCACCATGCCCGAAGGAGTGCTCAGCCAGCCGGAGACGCGCTAAGAATTGCGGAACGCGCTCCCTGGAGAGGTGCGCCGGGCGCCGAATGTATCTTCTTTTCGGCACCAGGTCAAACCCTTTTTAATTTCATCACTATTTTAGACATTAGTGTTCTAATCGTTCTGAATAGTAGGTTTGATTTTTGTCTTTTATGCACACTTTTATTGCATTATGTTATTTATACATGTGGTTTTATTCTATCTTAATTCTATGGATTGTGCGCCATCCTGAGATGCCAAGGCATAAGGGACAGCATTCAAAAGTTCTGAATAAATAAATAAGAAAGTCCCTCCAAGAAAGGGCCACCAGTCCTACCAGAAGGGATCGGCCTTAAAGGGTGCCTCCGGAGTGGGATGGAGGGAAATGAGGTCACATCCTGGGTCGTCTCCGTGCTTCTTTCCCTGCGCCAAGAGGCCCCACCGCCATCCGTTTGCAGGCATTAAGAGAACGGCCATTCCCACAGCACGGGGAAAGGCAGGACACCCGTTTCTGATTCACGTACAGAGTTCTGTTCTCATTCCAAGTATTGAAGAGTCTCATGTCAGAAGCTGCCCAAGATGGCACCGGGACTCCGAGGGCAGCGAACCCTACGTGGCGCTGGCTCTTTGCTATGCACGCAGCCGGGAATCCGCCTTGTGCATAAGAAGAAACCTGGGGAACACGGTGAAATCTGGTGCGCCCGTTTGCAGCATCCTCCTCCATCCAACCTTCAAAGATCTGCCCACTCCGGGATGACCAAAAGGGCAGGAGAGAAGGAGGTCTGCAAAGGAGGAGCCAAAAACCCGGCACCTTTCCGGAAGCACACCTCACTTCTCCCTAGTAAGCCCCGCCTGAATGCCTCCGAAGGCTAAGACACGGACCGGACATCATTCCCAAGGTGAATCCCCGGCATGGCTGCTTCTAGGCATCCCATTCCAGCTGTGAAGTGGAAAAATGGGAAGGTGGCGTCTCTTCTCTTCTCTTATTTTTTGGCAGCGAGGGCAAGAAGTATCCGAAAAGTTCTTGGCTTTCGACGCGGCATGGTGTACTTTAATTACCCATTTTAAAGCCTTTTAAAACTTCGTGCCACCGTGTTGTGCTGGCAATAACACCTCAGTAAAGCAGCGCCCAGGTCGACCTCGGGCTATCTGCAGCACCAAGAAAGAGCGGGCCCTGCATTTCTCACCCCACAAGTCTACACCTACGGCATGTGGAACTTCTGCCAGAGATCCGGTTCCACCCCTACTCTTGTTTACGAAATTCAGAGCTTAAGACGAAACCAGCATGCTGGGATTTATTTTTACAGTCTTAGAGAAGAATCTAGGCAGCTCTGACACCACGGTCCACGCCTTGAGAAACCCGGATTCTGCTCCTCGCGTCTCCTGCGACATGACGTGTGCAGTTTTGCTCACTTTTCCTCCCAAGAGCAGGACTGCGATTTGCAATGACTGACTGCCGTTCTCCAAACGTTCGCATGAGGTAGAAGGACCAATGTGAACCACACGGAACCACAAGCTGCAGTAACCGGGCCGGTTTGGCTCTCCACACCGACCATGCTAACAGGCACACAGGTGGAACGGTTGCGCGAGAACATTCGGCACATTTGTTTGTGACCGAAGCATTGGAGAAATAGTTGGATTCTAGCCCTCCCTCGGCCCTGAGCTAGCCCGTCCGTCGGTTTGTTGCGAGGACAAAGGAGAGGCAAGGACTGGGTCCAACTCCTCAGGCTCCTTGACGGAAAGGCGGGATATAAATGCAACGGGCAGAACAATATTTGGGTTTCAAGGACTCGGAATAGCTCCGCACTCCGCTCCAGGTATTGCACTGAGAATTAAGTCATTTCCCTCAACATTCCCAAGGCATGACAGGTTAACTGAGGCGGCTATTACTTCAGTATCTATAGCAGCAAACCTCTCACTCTGCACACAGCTATCTCACGCAACCTTGCCACAGCCCCATATATGGGTAGAAGGAAAGAAATCGCTTCAAGATCTTAGAGAGGGTTCAGAAGACAATGAGTCATTCTTATCAGCAGCAGGGACTGGTCCAAAGGTGTTGGATCAGAGCCGATGCTAGCCAAGAGGAACAAGTTTATTTTTATTTATTTATTTGTTTTTCGATTTGTAGCCTGCCTTTTTCCTACAAAGGGCTCAAGGCAGCTTACATCTCCTCCTCCATCTTGTCCCCACAACAACAACCCTGTGAGGTAGGTTGGGCTGAGAGGCTGTGACTGGCCCAAAGTCACCCAGTGGGCTCCATGGCCGAGCGGGGACTCGAACCCAGATCGCCTGAGTCCCAGTCCCGTGCTCTAACCACTGCACCACACTGGATCTCCAAGGAAAATGTGTGTGTGTGTGGGGGGGGGGGTTAGCTGAATGAACATATTATATTATGAAAGAGCAAGGCTGCAGTCCAGGAATCGAGCCAGCAGGACGTGGCTTTGCCAGTCACCCGGGGAGTTTCAAAGCTGGGTGGGGGCTAGAGTCCAGATCTCCCGGGCTCTCGGACGACCACTGACCACACCAGCTCTGGCGCTGCGAACAACCTTTTGGGGCGTTTGGTAAGTTGCATGCTGAACTCAGGGTTCTAGGATCAAAGCTAAAGTGAAGACCGCTTCGTGGACTTGAAAACGCTTATAAAAACCCCGCCTAATCGTGTTCTAAGTTTCATTGCAATTTAAATTTGTGTCTCATTGTTTTACAATAACGGTTAATGTGTGAGTTATTGTGATTAGCTCAAGGATAAAACTCTTGGGAACAGCCACCCGATCTTATGCATGTTTACTGAGAGTCAAGCCCCACTGGGCTAATGGGATTTACTCTCTGGTCAGTGAACGCAGGATTGTGGCCTAAAGCAGGTGTGGACAGCCTGGGCCCTCTCCAAATGTTTTGGCCTACAGGTCCCATCAGCGCGAGCCCACAAAGCCAGTGGAGAGGTCTGAGTTGTGCCTCCAACCCGAAACATCTGGCGGGACACGTGCTGTCCACTCCTTTTGAAGTATCGTATTTTAATCCATCGTTCCACAGACTTGCTTTAAAAAGTAGTAAGCAAGCGTACAATACAAAAACGATCACAAATCACAATACAACATGCAAAAAATGTACTTGTAATTGTAATGTTTAATTAATTAATTGTAATTAGCATGTTTCTGTGAGCTGCTTACGGAGTGTGGAACTCCACCACTCAGAATGCTTCCTTTTTTCATGCATAGGAAAATCTAAGAACCACACGCACACACGCACACGCTAATTTTCCACAACACTTAAATAGAGTTAATTACATGGAGAAAAGCTCAGGGTTCCAGCAGACACGGGGCCAACTGTTCAGCAGTTTGGGAATTTGTCTTAGCAAGGCCCATCCAGATTGCTCAGTTTCTTTAAAACCTGAAAGACAGCTCTGCACATTTTCCAGCATGAGAGCTGCCAAATACACCCATATCTGTTGTTTCCAACTGAGATACATTTCCAAATGAGATACAATCGGCTGAATGCGCTGCAAGACTTACAGCCAGAGCCTACAAAGCCCCCAGGCAGTGCTATAACATAATGACTAAACCAAAACGCACAAGTGAGATCAGCCGGTGCCTTGATTACAAAAATGCAATTCTCCCCGTCCCCCAGCACAATTATCCTCTCGCGGGGGCCATGCAAAATGTTGCAGACAGAAGAGTCCACTTCCCACAGCAAGGATATAATTATCTCTGTGTCTGCTATTCCACCCTGGCCCATTCACCTCCACCCTGGCTGGAGTTTGACGAGAGGCAGAAATAAGAAGTGACAAGCTCCTTCTCTGGAAAGCATTAGGGAAGAGCACAAAATAATTCTCTGGACAATAACGGAGGAACATTAATTTGCCTGCAGTTTCTGCCAAAAGAGCAAATGTAGCCAGTGGCTGGCAACCGGTGGCCAGCTGCAACTGGCCGCAGACCGCCAGCCATTATGAATTTGGCTCTTTTACTCTCTAAGGCCGGAGGAAGAGGTATTTTAGGAAGGCTGGCTCCTTAACTGTAGTGGCCTTCCTAGAAAAACAGTGTCATGTGTTACCTTTGGCTAACCCATCACCCAAGCCCATTATGGGTCAGCAATGGTTTCTAAACCTGATTACAGAAGGAAAGATAACCCACGTCTGAGTGCCCACATCTCAGGCCCCTTCTGACTGAGCTTAAATGTAGGGCTGGGTGCCGGTCCAACACTGCTCATTACCCTTTGATGTGTGAAGAATTAACTTCTATATATTTAGCAAGCTGCAGCTGCTTTCCAACGCTTGCTGTTCGCTGGCTTCGTAAGCGAGAACCGTGTGGAATCGCGGCACCTTCTCCAAACATTCGCTTCCATCTTGCAACCCTCAATCGATACTGCCTCTCGGCTGGGTGTTCACAAGCCAGCTGGGTCCTCCACAGGTTTTTCCCTCTAAAGTTTTACTGCTGCAAAAATTGGGGAACCCTCCGCCCGCCCCCCCCCCAAAAAAAACCCTGCCTATACCTCCTTGTGCTTGGGTGGCTACACCTGGGCAAGGGAGCTTCCTCATTACAGGAGGGAAAAGGCCCAAGAGCTTCTTGTGTTCTCCCCGTTTGGTACTTAAACTTGCTCATGCCAAGTCAGGGAATGAGCTAACACATTTGTAGAGCAAGCCATAAGCACACGGGCAATGAAGAAGTCTAGCCTTAGCTGTTGGGGGGTTTTTGGGGGGAGGAGTTAAGATCTGCAAGGCAGCAAAAGTTCAGGACTCGGCCGCTTCAGGAATTCCAAGAATTTGGGTGGGAGAGAGAAGACAGAGAATACAGCAAAGGAATCAGATAAAAGACAAAATCCCTCTGAACCCCTGGCAGGGCTAATTAGCTCAGGCCATTAAGGGCTCTTCCACTTTATAGCAGACAAACGCATCCTGCCAAATTCCAGTTTTTGCACGTTGTGTTTCAAGCGGTGCAGACTCTCTCCCAGGGCTGAAGGATTGGCACCCTTGTTCTATGTATTCGTGGCAAGCCAGGCTGCCCTTCCACAGAAGCAAGCTGCACGGCGTGTCTGATACACTCCAAAAGGTTTAGGAAGAGCCCTTCATTTTATTTCTCTGTGTTTCCTCCTGCAGCACTCCCAACCCAGCCCCACACAACTCGGCTCGGCAAGACTCTGTGGAACAATCCATGCAGCTTGAGTGTATAAATTGTATTATTTTAGAATTAATGCATTGACACACGGACACAGAGGAGGCAACCAACTTCTTAGGGCGCTGTTACAGTGGCAGAAAACAACACGCCTGCACACCTCAGAGGCGAGCCCAAAAGACAGCGAGCGAGTCCCAAAGGCAGGTTTATGCTCAAGGAAAGCAGATCCGCGACTGCAAACTTAACCAACGGGCAACATTCAAAATCGGACAAAACTTGTCACTTCATAAATGCGATCGCTTACCTGCCACTTTACAGTCAATGCAGATTGTACGTTAAGCGCCCCTGTATGTCTCACTAAATCTAAACTGCATCTGTTCTGAATTTTTACCTCATTTTATGCTAAAAAAATGTTTCACTCAGGATACATTTCTACCATCCACACCAATAAGTGTTGAAATAAAGGGGTTTTTTTTTAAGGAGTCAAAGACAGAGAGAGGAATTATATCAAATATATAGGCACCAACCACACAGGTTGTTACCTAAAATAATATACTAATTAAACAGCTGTGCAACTTATAATTATTTCAGATACTCAACTCAGAAGCAGCTAACAGTATTTACAGACATATGTAAGATTAGTTTCACATATGCAATCTTTTAAATATAAATAACATTTAAATATAAATGCTCGCTAAGATTTCTCCCCATAAAATCTAAAATTTATAAAATTTCTGAGGAAATTCTACAGAACAAAGGGATATGACAACATCACGAGCCTACAGGGAGCAATTAGATATTCACCAACTCAAAAGTCTATTACAGTAAATTCAATGGGAACTTTATTTTGAGGATGGAGGTCTGCAAAGACAGCCCTGAATCCACAAACTCGCGGATCTATCTTCTACCAAAACAAGGAAATACATCCAGACAGTCTTCGTGCTAATGGTGCAATTGCTTTTCTCTTTAATACTGGAACTTATTTGTGGGGCAGGGATACCTATGGTGGGAATCCCCAGATAGTTTTTGTCACAAGGATACAGCCAGCCCGCCCAAATCTGCAACTCCTGCAAAAAGAGCGCCTTCCAAAATAAGAGGAAGAGGTCTCAGACTTCCCAGGTATAGCTCTCTGGGATTGGTCAAGCCATGAGAGCAAGGAGAAATCTGGACATGTTCAGAGGCAACCTCTGCTTACTGCATTTCACCCCACCTCACATTTTAAAGTGCTGCAGTGCAATACTCAACACGCAAGTCCCAGACTGTCTTACTTTCCTTAGAGTAAAACCACTGAAGTCAATGGGACTTCCTTCTGAGTAGAGACACGGAATGGCAGCGCAAGAAGCACGGCCAAAAAGCCCCCGCACACTTGGAGGCTTTCCACATTATAGCACAGCCGGAATATTGGCAGTCGTCACCTTTTACGCTTTGGCTGCCGAACTATTATAAATTATCCTATTTACCTTTCGCAATGTTTCGTATCGTGTTTGCTTCTCCACAATGACGCACATCATTTTCAATTACCCCTTGTTTAAATCAGGGAGAGAACAGCTCATCAACCGAACAGAGAAGTAGCTAAGTCTAAACAAGACGTTTTAATTAGAAGGGATCAAAGTAAGAAAGTAAAAAAATAAATAAAATGCTTGCTTTGCGGGGCTCTTTATTCCTCTTTACCGTTCGCTGCCGTGATGTAAAGCCTGGGAATACAGGAATACACAGAAATGCTCGAGGAGGGAAGGCTCTGCCCTTTCAAAGAGTAGGTGGAAAACAACACGCAGCTGCTTACCGGGCTGTCTCCCTCCTGCTGGAGATCCACCAACGTGCAGCAGCTCCGCGCAGCGCTCATTGCACAAGCTCCACCCGCAGCGGCACTCCGACGCAACTGACAAGGGAGCCTGCCACGCCCGCTCCTTTTATATGGGCCACGCCCCCGAGCCGCCTCAAGCCACGCCTCCTCCTGAAATTCCCCGGTGCCACGCCTCCTCCCGGAGCCTCCAGGTGGCCACGCCCACCACCGTGCTCGCCCCTCCGCAGGCGCCGCTTCTTTCCCCGCGCGTGCGCAGTGAATAGTGTATTACTCAACGGCTTGAGAAGAGGAATCGAGGCGTTTGCAAATGCCGATAGGGGCTAGAGCAGCCTTCCGGACTTTGGGGCACATCAGAGCTCAGCGCCCATCATCCCCAGCTGCATGCCCACTAGCTGTCCCGAATGAGGATCATGGGAGCTTGTGGCTTTCTTGTATTTCTGCGTTTCCTTTGATCCCGCAAAGAACCCAAGAAGACTTCCCTCGCCTGCCTCCTCGCCGTTTTATCTCCCGACCATCCAGATGCCCTGCTCGGGAGGCCGCACCAGCTGAAGGCGAATTCAGCAAACAACACCCTGCCGCTTGCGCAACCCAGGCCACCTTTGGGTGCTGCTGTTGCATCAGGGCCTGCCGGGTCCCTTGCCAGATCTGACACACATTCCAGCAGCCGGGCGGCAGTTCCGCCCTTCTCTGCTCCACTTTCTCGCGCCTCTCGCCATTTCCTTTTCCCTCCCACTTTCAGCTGCTGTGAATGAGACACCTCCTGCGGGAGCACCCCCGATGCTGGAGGGATAAAATGCTAGAGATTCATCCTGCTGCATCCACAGGAGCTAGCAAATGGAAGGAACAAGATGGCGTAAAGGAGACGGGCAGCTCAGGGTGCGGGGTGCCACATTAGAAAAGGGAACGGCGGTGGGATTGTGTGGGGCAAAACTCTTAACGCAAGAAGAGCCATGCTGGAGCCCCATCCAGTCCTCCTTTCGGTGGCCAACCAGCTGCCCACAGCTGGCAGAGTATGAATGCACTGGTCCCCTCCTGCCCAAATCCCAACGCCCCTGGCAGACCCAGGCTGGCTGCCTCTGATCCTGAAGTAGCACCAGGCCATGGAAACGAGGAGCCACGGAGCGCCTTCTCCGTGCTTTTGCCCAGCCCCTTTCAAAAGCTCTCCAAATGGATGGATGCAAATTTCACACAATGCACTAACTTTTTGATTGTCCACTGCGGCCCCGATCGTTTGCCCCGAAGCGCATCAAGTCACGCTTGCATGCGCTGAGCCTCCTTTCCCATGTGATGCCCCTTTTCCTGGAGCTCCTCGCAAGCCCTCACTTCTACCGGACACGTCACATCCAGGGACCAACCATCTCTGATCTGCTGAGATGTTCATATGCCACCTTCTCCCTAAACCTGACTCATGCTTTTATGAGCCATGGAAGCTGGTAGGTGGTTGTGGTCATGCATTCCATCGGACAAGAGCCAAGTCACTGCGTTCTGCACTAGGGATGCAGCTTCTGGGACAGCCTTGCGTGCTCTTAGCCTTCGGATTTTCTTCTCCTATTAACAAAAATCTGCTTCTGAGCATTTTCCATCCATGGGTTCCTCTCCTGCCCTTTGTGGCGACAGCGAAAACGCACTGGGGGACCATCCAACTTCCAGAAGGACCTGTAAACATCTCCCAGGATCGGTTTCTGAGAATGCCTCATATGCAGCCCGTTGGGGCACTGCTTGGCCGCTGTCCCGTGTCCCATCCCTACCCAGACGGAAATGGTGTGGGGAGTCACTCTTGGACAAGAACGGATTCCCTGAAACAAGGGCGATGTTTTTCCTCTTTCCCGGAAAGCACCATTAGCAAAAGGATTCCCTGGGTGTGAGACCCATCTCTGAGAGCTAAGCATAAAATCGCAGGTGTTACCTTGCCAAAAGCAGCAAGGTAAATTTGAGAAGAACACATGACTACTGCTTTTCCAAACTGGACCCCCTCCACAGGCCAAGCCAACTTCGTAGCATTGGGAGTCCAACATGCCTCGAGGGTACCAAGTCGGGGGACTCTAACAGAGTTTTCTGCTCTGTCTGGACTATTAGGGAAATTTTCTTCCAGTTTCACTGATAAAGGTCTGGGTTATACACTCCAGACTTTACTCCTCCTCAAGGAGATCATTCCATCATTTGGGGTGGCCACCAAAAAGGCCCTGTCTCTTGTTGAGCTTCACTTGATGAAAGCATCTGTCCGAGAGCCTTAAATTAGGAGGGTAGAATACAGGGAAGTTAGAAGAACTGCTCAGTCAGCACAAAAAACCACTCCTGCTCCAAGGTAAGAATTTCCCCCTCCTGATTCATAGTTTATCCCAAGCCCTCACAGCCCCATAAATTCTCATGCAACACACAGGTGACCTCTCTTGACCTCGCTTGACAGTCCTTCATAAAACTGCTTCTTTCTGCCAACAGTCGGATGCCCTTTCCTCTGCCGCCCAGAACTTCCACTGATTTTCAGCATTCCTTGACTGTCCTTACCTGTCGACAGCGGGTCGAACATGAGCTGGCAGGGTGATGCTGCGGTCGAGAAGCCAAACGCCACCCTTGGGTGCACAGCCAGAAGTGTGGCTTCAGGTCGATGGAGGTGTTGACACCGCTCTCCATGACTCGGTGTGCCCACAACTGGAGTTCTGTGTCCAGTTCTGGGCTCCACGGCAAAGGAGGGACACAGCTGGGCTAGAATTGGTCCAGCTCAGGGTCACAAGAGTGGCGGCTGGGCTGGAAGGAGGACATCTGAGGACCGATAGAGGGAACGGGGTCTTTTCAGCCCGGAGAAGAGGAGGCTCTGAGGGGATGGATCTCTTAGCAACTTCTAGATAGGCGAGGGGATGTTATATGGAGGAGGGCTGGACCTGTCCTTCCCTGCAGTGGAAGGCAGGACACGTTCCAGTGCGGGAAAGCTCAAGCAAGCAGGCTTCAGGTTGGATGTCGGGAAGAACTTCCTGATGGTAAGGACCCCTAGGATGTGGAATGGGCTTCCAAGGGAGGTGGCTGAGGCCACATCACTGAGGTTGCTCAAGGGAAGACTGGCCAACCACATGTTGGGGATGACGTGGTCGGAGTCGGCTGGAGCCAGGGGTCAGACTGGATGACCCAGGAGGCCCCTTTGGGCTCACTTTGCTTCTAAGTTTCTGTGTTTGAAAGGCTGGAGAACTTTCCCTGTCATCACAGAAGTTAAGCAAATGGGAATCATGACAAGGAGGGGAAAGAGCTTGTCAAGCTATTATTATTATTATTATTATTATTATTATTATTATTATTATTATTATTACATTTCTATGCCGCCCCTTGCTGAAGCCTCGGGGCGGCTTACAGCACAATAAGATACATTGAAATACAATAGAACATAATAAATTACCAATAAATACAAAAATACACTGAGATACAATAATATAAAATTAAAATTAACAGTATAAAATAAGTAAATAAAGAAGTACAGTTCTCAAGAAGCTCTTTGGCTCCTGTCTGAGCAGCAACTGCCACAACCACTGGAGGTTTTTGGAAAAGACAGCAGGGGCTCACACACGTATCCCTATAATTGCAGCTTGTGTTACCTGTGGATTTCCTGCCTGCTACATAGATCATAGAACCACACAGCCTCTCTCCTTTATGGAAAGGTAAAAGGTAGCAGGCCCCCAGAAAGGAACAAATAAAGCCCATTTGGAGGCTTGGTCAACAGTTAAAGTTGTGTTTACATTTGACAGTACTGACTGTCATGTTATTTTTTTAATAGGTTAATAATATTGTATGCCAGCTGGTACATTTTTACACTGGAATGCGGGGTTATAACATTTAGGAAAATAGATATTTGGGAACACTGAAAAGAGAACTGCATTGGCTCTTATTAATTCTCTTTACAGCTGCAAATCTTCACACTAAATATTCTCTAACAGTATTCTTGAAATATCTGGAAATTTACCGGACATTCACCAGATCTGCATTTAACATTCTACATGAGTGGACAACAAGTTGCTTTAGCCTACAACTCCCAGCATCCCTTTCCATAAACTAAGTTGGCTAGGGCAGATGGGAGTTGTAGCCCAAAAGATCACAAGGTGCTCATCCCAGATCTACAGTGTGGGGTTTAAATATTTGACCACTGAGACATGCAAGGATGTTTTGATGCTTGCTTTTAATTAATTGAGCTGGAATTTCAAATCCCCTGTTTTAACTTTGGTTATTTTTATCCTGGTAACCTCTACTGGACAAAACAATTAGAATAAAATGAAGGTCAAGGTTTGATTGATTATTGGAATAAGTGGAGGTAATTATCTAACTACAGATTTTTTAATCTCCTCCTTGTCCAATGGAAAACACATCTGCCGCACACCTAGTGGCTATGAAGAACCCAAGCTGAGATTTTCTTTATGAAATAAAGAAAAAACCTGCCACACAGGGAGGACTGAGAAATTCCTTATGGCCTGAATCCACTCATGGACTGGGCCTCCGTATTTTCAGAAGCAAGCAGAATCTGCTTCCAAACAGATACTCTGCAGCCCAGGTGTCTGTAAAGTCAAGGGGGCGGATGCGTCTGGCATTTGGGAATGAAGTCAAATGGCTTGAGCAGAACAGACATTCAGAGTGGCCTCCTGTGCAGCCAGCTCAGAGCATATCCATCTGCAGTTCCCCCTCTGAGGAAAAACACCGAGAAGGGAATGGCTTTTGCCCTGCCCTTTCCATCCCTCCTCACACCGTCTCCATCTATTAATATTCTGTCTCCTAGCTCAACCCAAACACCAAAGCAGCCAAACAGGTTTGTTAGAAGCCCTTCTCCTTCCACAACACCTCTCTGGGAGGCTTTGCAAAGCCACATCCACATCCTCGTCATCACATTTAATTTCATCCATCTTTCTTCTGCCTCTGGATTTAGCCACGGAGAGCATTAGCAAGATGCCTCCGTTGCAACCCTGGCCCGATCAAACAGAAGCTGTCCAACAATATTTATCCGCTTCTGAGACCTACCTGGGAGGAGAAGACCTCCTCTTCCTCCCGTGCTGCCGAAGGAAGGATGTGGCAAGCTTCCAGCCTTTCCAGCAGGCACAGAGAACCTCCTT